AAAAGTAGATAAAGTTCTAGAAAACATTTTTTTAAATTTGTATTTGTACAAAAAGTTATTCTCTCATAGAGCTTTTTAGTAAATTATATTTTTTTCAGAAGGAGTGTCCCAATATAATTTTTTGCTTCGGGATCGCAGAATTTAAATTCGGACGTAGGTAAAAGTAACAAATCGTAAGAGAAATAATCAATTCAGTTCTATATTAGCATAAGATAGTATTTTGATAGTGACCCGTTTTCTCTTTGTCACTATTGTGTATTGTCTTTGCCATTGTTGTGTTCAACATTTTGCACACACCGACCAGAAATCGTGGTTGTATGGGCCTAAAAGTGAATTATTTAAACAATAACGTGCTTGTGTTTAAAACATTTAAATCTCGGTTTTTGTGCAACATAATTTTCTGTGGCACAACGTATTAAAAACACCTGGTCCCTTGAAAATCACTCTTCCACACACTCAAAAAGATTTTTTAATCGACTATGTTATAATTTGATGAATGCGAGCCTATATAATCCTATTCTTTACGAATTATATGATTCCTAAACTTCATTTTACGAGAAACATTAATGACTTGAGAAAGCTCATAATACACACATAATACCAATTTCACGGACATTTCGGTGTTGCGCAATTAACAAACGCGATTTCATACTACTCATACAAGGAAGTTTTGGTTATTATTCGATATCACTGAAAATATCTCATAAATAAATGTCGGCAATACTACTTTTATTTAATTTAGTTCATGCTAATTGTGTAAATAATTCGTAGAAACATCACCGTAATGCCTTAATTTCCCTCCCTGGTGATGTTGGTAATAGTACAGATACTAGTCAACAATAAGGCTTTATGTCCTATTAAAACAGTTTATTTTCCGTACGTGGATCTAAATTAATTAATATAATTACATAACTCCTTTCGTATTAAACCCCTTTTTGCTTCTGTATGTCTCACAAAAACCACTTGTTACATAAATAATTATTTATAAATGTAATATGGACTATTTATCTACTAGGGAATATCTCACCCTAACCATCGTAAGTCATTGTGCTTGCTGAGCGTGTTGTGAAAGGTCGTAAGTAAATAGTTGTAGATTCGTAGATTTTGTTTGTTAAATAATTTAGTTTCATGTTAACCCTCGTACCATATCTGCTTGTTTATATCAAGTACTATAGCTCGAGTCTTTTTGGATCCCCGCCTTTAATAACAATTGGAAGTTGTAAACATGAATGTTATCGGCAACATATTGGATGTAAATAATTGACTTATTATAAGAATACAGTTTCTACGTTCTTTTCAATAACATAAATATATTAAAATTATTATTTTATTTTCTGTCAAGATTTAACAACTTTGGCTGTATTTGTTCTTTTATTTTGTAGACAAACTTGTTTTTGCATTACTTCTTTTACATAAAATATGATTGAAAATACCTACAAGAACATTTCCTAAACTATGCTATTATGTATCACGTATTTTCAATCATATTATATGGAAGACAGTTATCCAAAAACAATTTTGTGTCAGTTAAATAAAATAACAAATACAGTCTGACAAAGTTCATAATAAATATAATTTATTCATATTAAACATAACATAAAAATAACAACTTCCATCGTAAGTACCCTCCACTCTTGATTCAAAATGCTTGAGAAATATATATGAGTTCGTGAAAGTTATTTCGAGATATATCAAACGAGAAACAAAAACTGACAGTATCAGACATGTGTTTTGAAGTTCATGATTATATGTTTAAAATGAGAATGGGAAAATTAAAAGACTATACTTTAGGTCAAACCAGTTCCATATAACAAATTAAACATAAAAAATTAATAGCTGTGAACATTTCGGAAATATGTAGAAATTATTTGAAATCTCCTCAATAATTGCACGGAGCCATATTTAGAAGACTGAAATAATCCTGCAAATATTAACAAAATAATGATTGTGGAGTCTCGAATGACTTTCAAGATATGATTCGAAGGTTGAATACACATTACACATTAATTAGTAGTAGTTTTGGTACAAGAATGTTAGCAGTAAATTTATTTTGTATACATGTGGTAATTTGAATTATTATTTTTATAGTTAAACTATAAAGTAACTGCCATGTGTTTTAATTTATTGATTTTCCATTTTTTGTACAATTTGCTCCATTTCAGTTACAAATATGAAAATATTTGGTGCTTAGGGTCGAATGTTTAAAAATCGATCCCTAAAGTTTTTAAAGACATTAATCGACATGAAAATATTATTATTTGTAGAAATATTAGTCAAGTTTCATGATATTCGACAAACGTATTCGTAATACATACTACAATTCGTAATACAGTGCACTACAAATTGCTTTTCATTATGTTACGTGTGTATTAAAGGAATTGGAACATGGGTATACATTAATTATATTCTTACTAATTTTTTTACGTTCCGTTCCATAAACAATTTTCCCAAAGAAATTTTATAAATTTCATTTCCTTCTGTAAGAATATTACCATGAGTTTGTAAATGGTTAGCATCCACATTTTTTGACAGACGAATTTTTGTAACATTATTTTATAATCATGTACCGGTTTTGGGTATTGTTGGCCTCATCATCAGGTTGTGAAATTTAATATTGAAATTATATAGCACAAAATTTAAAATTATTTACCATACAATATTAAAATGGAGAAATTACGACAGGTAAGAAATTTTCAGACATATGAAGGCTCACAAGACAGATGGTTTGTACATTAACATTATTCTACAGTTAATCGTCACTAGACACACAAAATGAATTCAATGTTAACTTTACCGTCGTTTAATGTCTATAAGTTTATTATACTACCTCAGTAGACACTCCATGACATCTTTTAAGTTTAATAACTTCTATCCTAAACTAAAATTTACTATTGAAAGAGAAATAGACAAAAAAATCAATTTTTTATATGTTACCATCATTAGGAAAACGTGAAAAGAAATTGGTTCAGAAAATCGATATCTGCAAGCAAAGTACTTACTACTCCTCACATATTATGAAAACCAAAATCTCAATTAGTTATAATCTAGTGAATTGCACAGTCAAGTTAGTTGGTAAGGAATTCCATCCCTTTATCGAACAAATATTTATAGTATTTTAAGAAATAATTATTCTAATGCTGTTATCGATAAATTTATCTTTAAGAAAATGAAGCTTCTTGAGTCCCATTTCAACAAATGTCAAAAGATTAAAATATATTTTACTAACTTCTGATCATAAATATTTAATATTACCATTCGTTTCATTATTTTTTCAAGAGATTCTTAAAATTAATATTACTTTCCTTTTGGATGCTCGGTATAGTCTCCAATTGTTTAGAAACAGTTGTGAAGCAGAAACTATTTTACTTGGGACTTAAACTTTTGTATCGAATTTAATCGTTTACTGACAATGACAAAGTGTTGTAAAATAATGTACATGTATTATATGTGAATTTTTTGTAGTTAGCTGTTGATACTGTCACCAAATGAACAATATTACTGCGTCGAGTGTTGTACTATAGACAACGGCGTTTGCTGAAAATATATACCTATCCTTAAGTAAGTCATTTTTGACAAAAAACGCTGATTCATATATGAAGAGACAAGGTAATTGTAAAATACCTTGATTGATAAAGAGAGGCTTAGAATAATCACGTGGGTGGGATTTGCTTATTATTCGTACAATTATTTTTTGTAATCTAAGTCTGGGAGCTATAATATGTATTTCCCCATATTATGTCATATCTCTGGCGGGAATGAACATTCGCGAAATATACACAACGAGCAGATGATGGAGGCTGACTGAATTTGAAAGAATTCTGAAAGTGAGACGTAAAGAACTTAATTTAGTGTTCAATTCATTTAAATGGTCATTCTATTTAAGGTTTGACTGAATTGAAAGATAAAAATTTTGTTACCTTAACATCAGACAATGGCACACCGTTCATTGTCAATGGAGTGAAGAGCTGTGTATGTTTTTAAATATGTTGCGTCTTCAGTTAACACAACGCGTCTCCAAACCCCGGGGGACGTTGAGCGCTTTCCGCTTTCGGAGTAATCCTCCATTAACAACAGCGCGGGAGTAATCCTCCATTAATAATGTCAATGTCATAACTGTCACGTCTCGTCGCAGTCAGTTTTCAAGAGGACCGCCAAGTAGCATGTCCGCGTTCGCGCCTCCTACTACGCGCCCCTGCGTCACCACTCAGCGGCCAGAATTGGAAAGGAATTAGGATTGGGGTAGCGTTTTGGAAACTTCACAGTGGTTGGTGTAGAATTTAACATTAAAAACACATTTAATATTACGTTAAAGAAAAGAAACATCATATTCAAACTCCTCACTGAATTTTTCTTCAACAGCACTTCACTACACTTCATTTCTCTTCACTACAACGCTTTAATCACTTCCTACATTATTTCTCTGTTCTACCTGCACAACACCTCACATCACAATATATTACTGACGCATCGCTCTATAACCTACTATTGTCAGCTAATTCCCTCATTTATTTAGAAATGCCCTAAATTAATTTTCTATACATAGACAATGGCCGCTCCCAAGGCTGTCGATCCCTCCCTCTCCCCCCTCTGCTCGCCCTGCTTATCCGAGCGTGTTATCGTGAAGGGAAACGCTTCTCTAATGTTAATTCTCCACCAGTTGGCAAACACCGATATACGTAATGGAGATAAAAACGTACTAATAATCACCCATTTCTTCAAAAGTGGCAAATCGTCACTCTATGTTTGTTTCTCCAGTTCACGTAAACGCTTAGAAAATGCTCGTTCAAAGAGCTTTATACATATTTTGTAACTAATTAAGACGTAAGGAAGTTCCAAATCTTATTAATTTAAATGTAGGATTCTGGGCGTTGGCTTTATTTGTCAGTGTAACTCCTACCTGAGCTCCTAATTTAAAAAATACTTCTTTTCCACCATTTGAACCATTACTTATATTTGATGTTTCACCGTCATAATATCTCCTAATAACTGAACTGTTGCAGCTGGGACCATTGAGTTCGAAAACACAATTTTCAAATCCGCCACATCCTTGGTGAAACACATTACACCGTGGGACCGGTGATTCAGCCATTGAATTACTCTCCATTCGATCAAGGAGTATTTACGCAGTGAAGTGAATTACTTGCAGAGAATGTTTATCTCATTCCTTGCATGTAAGTATTGGTTTTTAAACCATGCAAATATATTTTTCATTAATTTCGCGTGATCACTCCGAGCTAAGGTAATTGGAGGCGCAGTAGAAAGCAGTCGCACCTCATTAATTCAAAAGCTGGATAAATAGAAATTTTTTCTTTTTGAAATATAATGATACTTTTGAGAAAACATCTCCTACATCAAAAAAACGAGTATGTTGTTGATTCGAAGTTTCTATTATAGTAATTGGAAACTGAGTTTTTAATATTCTAGGAACGATTGTGTAGATGTCAAAGAAGAGGTAGTGAAAATTTACAAGGCTGATGCATGAGTGAGTGACTGAGTATTTCGTGTTTTCGGACAAGTCAACTACTTTGGCCATTAGTTACGGGGCAAAGTGTATTTTATAGCCAGATGGTGGCGGCGCTCCTCCCCCTGGAACGTGCAATCCAGCTCCCTCCTACACGTCGGCTTGCGGGGTTTCCAACACCAGGTATCTCCCCTTATAGAGCACCGCTCCAATCGGGGCGTGCTCTAAGCTAGTGAATACTTTCCCGACAAGTGCCTCGCCTGGTCTTCATCGGTCAAACCACTCAAAACTACCACTAGTCGGCAGCGAGAATTCTTAAGATGGTCGCTTAATTCTATCCAGCTATATGGCTAGTGTGGAAAATTTGCCACCGATTCGAAATCCAGAACTTTCATTTCAGAGACGCGGTAGCGGCTACAATTGCAACTGAGCCATTTCAAATACTATAAGAGTGATGCGGAAGAGGTTTATATCAACGTGCAATTTTTAGGTTTTACAGAAAATTAAATAAATCACAAAACAAGTTTACAACAATGTTTTTCTTTGCAGGATTCCTTCATCACTCGGAATTGTGGAATATGGCAAATGACTACATTCCAGTAGCTGATTTCTATGAGGGAAAATCTATTTTTGTTACCGGCGCTACTGGGTTTCTCGGCAAACTGCTGGTAGAAAAATTGATGTGGTCATGTCCAGGAATAGAAAATATTTTTCTATTGATACGACGAAAGAAGAACGAAGATGAAGAAAGTCGTCTGGCAACATTTCTACGTACTCCTGTAAGTATATTTTAGAAGTATTCGTGCGCTCATGATACCTGCAATGGTGACAAAACTACAACGCATGACTACCGAAGACTTTTTCTTCCTCATAACTAGCTTTGGAACAGTACTTCAATTTTATAACCAATGAAAAGTTATTTTTAAACTTAATACTGGTGTTAAAGAACAATACTTCTAAGTTCTATCAGTCAATTTCGGTTTACTACATTAAGTTTACCGTACATTTTATAGGATAATCGTAGGTTGTACATTACGAATTACTCTACAAGTTATTTTTTACAATTCTTTTTGACTGATCATTTGACATTCAATACAATCCTTCTTGACCAACACACCGGGAGGAGGGGCTGAATGGTAACTACATTAGGGAAAGAACAGGGAATGACTAGTAATGTTTATGACGAGAGGAGGAGATTTTGAAGGGCGACAGAGTAAAAATGTTTGCGTGAGTTTTCTGTGGATTAATATATATTCTCCCAAAAATAATCCAGTGCATGCATTTTTTAATTGTATTCTGAATGATGTTAGAGCGATATTGATATTTGAATGGGAACCATTTTTGATACTGCGACCCTATTTTTTTATTAAAGTAAAAGAGGCACCTGGGCTGGCCCTTAGGGTGTGATGCGTCAACTAACTACACATCCATGATCTGAATGTGGATGACTGTTTAAATAATAAAAAATGAGGCGGACAACGAGTAATGTCTCTGTTAGAGTTTGTTACTACAGCTTACAAACATTAAGATTATTATTACATGGATCTCAGGGCTGAGGAAACATACTCGATAGTGGAAATTGAACAAAGGAACAGAATTCCTTAACAAAATGGACTTAGTGTAATACGCTTTATTTGTGTTGAGCTTTTATTGTCTTCGGTGACAGTGCAGCCTAAATAGCAAAAGTTCTATTTCTGTTATATCTAAATTATTTTATTCTATGTGTAATTTTTCTCTTTCCCAAATACCATGAATTTAGATTTTTTTGAGAATAGGACATTTGCAGAGTTCTTGCAAAACTATCATCTTCTGTAAATCTTTTCTTGAACTATCTTATATTGCTATATCATCAGCATATCTTAAACAGTGTATTTCTAAACCATTACATTGTAGGCCCTTAGTTTTTACTTTAAAGTATTTGATTGCTTCGTCTATAAACAAGTTGAATAAATGGGGTGAAAGGGAGCATCTTGTCTCACTCTATGTCTGATTTTCGCTTTGGTCTCCTGGTTATTGATGGTTATTCTTGCGCATTAATTTTTATAGAAATGTAGGATAATTCTTTTATTCTTCCAGAGTAGATGTACGCCTTTCATGATATGAAATAGTATTGTCAGGAAACCTTGTCAAAAGCTTTCTCCAAGTCTATGAATTCTACATGTGACCATGTTTTATCAATTTCAAATTTTATCAATATCAATCAGAAAAATTGAAGGCAATAATAGCTTCTTTCGTACCTCTTCCTAACCTAAATTTGAATTGATCTTCATCCAAATTTTGTTCACTTTTACCTTTTATTCGGCTTTTGATTATTGTGATGAGAATTTTGGAAGCATGGAATATAAGAGAAATTCTTTTATAATTTTGTTGATAAAGTTGATTCTTTTTCTATGTATGGTAATGATTTTGCTTTCTGGAAATTCTTCAGGTGTTTGACCAGTCCCCCAGTTCTTATTTTAGAAACTGAATTTTTCCACTTTTTACTTATCAGGGCGCGGCAATTATTTTTTCTGTCGAAACTCCGTCGCTTTTTCGCGCAGCATTACATAATTTTCTCTGTACTAAGTATATTACACCGAACGAATACGAGAAAGTGATATGATTTGTAAATTACTCTATATATACGTATGTACACGAAAAAGTAAAAATTATACTTTATTCGCGATAGATGACAGCTGGCATGAGACAAGACGAAAACCGTGGCCAGACCAAAGAAATTACAAAACTAAACAGTACGAGAAAGATTGTGCCATTCTGTCGCACTAATGGTTCCATAAACATTTACGTTGAAGATTGCTCATTCCATACAGAAGAATATTTGCCGCAACAAAAGGTACACATTAATCTTTAGATAAGTGGTAAATCGTCCATTTATAATTTTCCCTCGCAGCAAATGAGAGCCCAGATAGAATTACTTTGTTCTTATTCTTTCTCGGCCCATTATTTTTATGCTTTGTTGTTTCGAAATGTTGAATAACCTAGAACCTCTTCAAATTTACGACAGTACTCTCACAATATTTACAAAATAACAAGTTAGCATCTGTTGAGAAAATGTCACTCCGAAACTCGCTAAGAAATCCTTTAAATGTGGGTACTTTATTCTTCCCTTAGACTGGAGGCTTGGCATCAAGCATTTGTTTCTTCTTAAAACTACGAACTCGATCAACGGAATTCACAACAGCTCTATGACAGATCTAGCTTCAGACATTCGGAAGTCGATTGCTCTTCTTACAAGCAGGGCTTATAATCTCAACATGTAAGGATATTAACATAAGTCAGCATATAATCTATGAACTAGTGCATAACACAATGTAGTTGACACACAATTCCCTGCTTCGCTGCTTTCGTCTGTATCGTCGAAGTATTAATTTCAACACGTTCTTTATCAATGTTTTTATCATTCTTAATCGGAAAAATCATTTCCGGTGCTAGCGCTATGAGATCATCAGGCAATTACTCCTGCAATGACCATTCCCGCCATTTCTCATAAATGACGCTCACTTCACATTTGGTTTGAGGGGCCATGCATATTAATTGAAATTCCAAGACAAATTTTCCACATTAAGAACACAAAAGGAATAAAATATGAATAATAACTTAAATATGTTGGCAATATCGTTCAAAGTCTCAAATCAAATGCTTCAGGTTCCGATGGTATAAATGCCAAGCTGCTAAAAATAGCTTAGATGTGACGTACCCAATTATCACCGAAATCCGTAAATTTCTCACTAATGAGCGGGCATATACGCTTATCCTGGAAAACTGCGCTCGTGCATCCTATTCCTCAAACAAGCCATCAACCAAAACCCTCATGAATACCGGCCCCAATTAGCTCCTCCCAACTAATCTCTAAAGACTCGAAAAAGTCGTCCGGAAGACAAAACTGAACAGGTTCTTCGAACAAAATCACGTTTTAAACGATCGCAATCAAGGTTCCGTTCCGGAGAAATACTGGAAACCGCACTACTAAACGTTCATTGAAGACGCGAGAACAGCAAATTAGATTACAGTAATATAACTATTTTGTTCTTCTGGATTTCAGCAAAAGTATTTCGCATTCAGTAGATCACGACAATCCTTCCTGCTCGCCAAACTAAAGATCAATGGGATTTGGCACAGCCCACGTGTAAATGGTTCTTAATATTTAACTTCCAAGAACCCAAAGAGGTGTCCCGGTGCCGTACTCAAGGGACTTTGAAGCTTAACCGCCTTGGAAGTTGCTCAAGGCACTGTGTTAGGGCACTGGCCTTCTAATCGATGTAAATGACGTGGGAAAAGCACTTAAATATTGGCAGACCATCAATGTATGCGGATGTAATCTCCATATGGATATATCATATATATATTAATAATATATAATATAAATAATATTTGAGTGTCACCCGTTCTCACCTAAGTGTTCACTCGTACAAAAAAATTAATTGAAGATTTACAGCTTGGGCAGCGTCTTTGGTCTTACAATTAAACCCAACAAATCACAGTGGCATGGTTATCAGCTCGAAATGCACTATGAATAAAATCTCTTCTTCTCTCCTTTGCCTAATATTTATATATAAATGAACACCATTTTACCTTGGTGTTCTGAAGTCAAGAACACTAGTGTAGTAATCGCACAACACTCTCAGCTTGGAACTTCGCAACGTAGATTCAAAACTGCCGTCAAGTTTTTGCTTTCAATGCAACTCACTGAAACGCCTCGCGAGGCACTTTTACCGGAGCACACGTGAGACTCTCATCAAATCAACTTATATGCGCACATTTCGACTATGCACTTTCTTCTGACCAACATGATCATTCAAATTACAAACGTAAACTTCAAGTAGCCCAGAGCGGCGTGCGTACGTTTTATTTTTGGATGCTAAGAAAATACGACCATGTATCGAATTTTTGACAGAATTCGTATGCTTACTCTAGACAAAAGACGGTTTACTCCACTCTTTTTCTTCTTCTTTATAAAGTTTTTAACGCGGTTCTCATGGCAACACGCCTCATAAGTACTTCATCCTCTGAAACTAAATCGAGCTCGTGAATCAGCCCTGCTTTGTGTACCACGTCACAACACGACTTCATTCAGTAGTCATTCACCATTACACTATCCGAGCCTGGAATAAATTAGCAGCGAGACTAAAACATTTAAATACTTTCGGCAAATTCAAAGCTGAATTAACCCACATGGGTAAGGAACGGCATATAGAACGGCGTTAACGTCTTCTTCAATCTCCAGACTTCTCCCACTTCCAAGCGCCCGGTCACCGCCCCCGTTAAACACCCTCTATTTCCCCTTCTTTATTCTCAATATTCTACCCCATACCTCATTGCTCTATCCTCATCTTCCATTCCCTCTCACACCTAAATTATGAGCATTATATGCATTATTATTTTTCTGTGTACCCTAATAAAATTGTTAATAAAATATACAAAAATATTAGTGACGTTCCAGATAAAATATACTTGTAGCTATCTTTGTACCATCAATCAGGATATTCACTACAATATATTGACATAAACAAAATAGATGTTAAGTACCCGCACTCTTTGTATTGTTTCCTTATTACTGCCAGTATTGTGTTTTAAAATTACTGTTGTTATTAGCTTATAGTGTACTGTGCTTCTCTGGTGCTAAAAATTATTGTATATTTATGTAAAGTGCTACTGTAAACTAAACGTAGATTTCTGAACGCCCTCAAATAACTTTTTCGCCTACTTTTCTTCGTCTTTTTTCTTCGCTTTTTTTCTCTTCCCTCTCCATCACAAATTTTATCAGTTATACTTTTTGACCCCTTCCCCTGTGTAGTCTTTCTTTTCATCTTTTACGAAACTTCCCTTTCACTACTCAATATAACATACTCAGTCCTATTAATGTTTCGGCACTAGCTCCATTCTGATTGAGGTTTTTCTGGGTTTACTCAATCGCTTACCGGCGTATGCGGGATGGTCCCTAGATTTGTTCTCCCAGACGTAATAGTACAGCTTGTCCTCCCTCTTAAAATGTTACTATTCTAAATGTATATAAATTCAGTGGTTAGGCGGAAGAGCAGGCCCTATGACCTGAGCCTCGCCATTAATAAATACATTATTATTATTATATTATTATTATATTACTTATTATTATTATATGATTATATTTTTTAATTATTATTATTATTATTATATCATGCAATAACACAAAGTGCACTAAATATGGACTAATAGGCTGCATAAAATCATCGAATTTCTCTTTGCTTCATTGTGTCTTGTGGACGTTTGATAATTAGCATGTTATAGAACTCATAATTAAAATGATGATGTTTCATATACTTCTGGGCATTAGTTATGACTCATGATTTTAGCACGGAACTGTTTAATTTATAAGTAACGGTTTCAAAGCAAAATATAATTGAAAGATGGTTTATTGATACAGGATATTCACAGTACCTCTCAACATTACACGCGCGTTTTATAATAGTGAACTAAAGTGCACCAATTTGTCAATGTATGTTATTAGCTCAGGTTAATAAAAGTATAGCTGAATAGAACACTGAATTAACACTGAATAGAATTGTCATATTTCAAATTATTATTTTCAGGTTTTCGATCGCTTACGCAAATACCGTCCTAATGACCTGGAGAAGATTTCTGTAATACCTGGAGACTTGTCCAAACCATTTTTAAGCATCAGTCCGAAAGACCAAGAAATATTAATTGAAACAACTTCTGTAGTATTTCATGTTGCAGCAACATTACGATTTAACGAACCACTGAAAGAGGCAGTAACTGTAAACACTACCGCTACAAAGCACCTTGTCGAATTTTGTTCACGGATGTCAAATATCAAGGTGATTAATATTTATGTGTCAGCCATCTCAATTTATGAGAATCTTAAGAAATAAACCCCACAAATTGATTAAAGAATATTTTCAGGCATTTGTCTATATTTCAACTGCATATAGTCACTGCGATCGCCCTGAAGTGGATGAAAAATTTTATAATGCCGTTCATGATCCAGAAACTATCATTCATCTAGTCGAAATATTGGATGACGATATCACTGACGCAATCACTCCAAAGTAAGTCATGATTGAAAAGTCGCATCGTAAACTTAAGTTAGCATGATCTATTAAATGCATAACACAGCATTAATAAACACAATAGGTATTTCGTGTTAATTTATCGTAAATCATATTAAATTTATGTGAAACAGACACCATTGTATGTAGAAACTACGACGAGAGTACAAGCTTCACCTGAAATACTAATGTTTGAATTTCACGGAAACTCTTATGATATCAGTTCAGAAAATGTAAAAATAATGATGATGAAAATACTAAAATTCGTAATAGTTAATTATTTTGTAAGATTTGTTACTTATAATTATTATGACCTTAATTAACTTCAATTCTAGGTTATTGGGCAAACGGCCAAACACGTACACGTACACGAAAGCTTTGGCTGAGAATGTGCTTCAGAAGCACGACAAGGAGCTTCCTATTGCAGTAGTTAGACCATCTATGGGTGAGTATTTAAAATTAAAGATTTAAAAAACAGACTTAAAACAGTTTTCTCATTATCTATTAAATTCGTTCTCTGAATATAATCAATAACATTCTCGTTTCAGTTATATCAACAATGATGGAACCTTTTCCTGGATGGATTGAAGGTTGGAATGGCCCTTCTCCTTTCCTTGCAGCTACAGCCAAAGGGCTCATTCATGGACTGCTGGCAGACGCAAACGCGGTTACTGACGTGATTCCAGCAGACATAGTTGTCAATCTCACCATATGTGCTGCCTGGCGCACAGCCATGCAGGGAGGAATACAAAAAATCGAAGTGTACAATTGTTGCACCGGTGAAAGAAATCCCATCACATGGGGAACCTTCTTGAAATACAGTTATAAAGCTTTGTTAAAATATCCTTTGGACGAAATGATTACTTTTCCATTCTTTTCTTTTCAACGCCATCCAAGTATACGCTTCATCCAGAAGTTACTTTTGGAGCAATTACCTGCCTTCTTCATCGATTTAATTTATCGTCTTGCTGGAAAAAAGGGAATGTGAGTATTGTACAAAATATACTACCAATTAAAAACGCTATCATTTAAAATACTTTCTCAAATATAACCAATATTCTGTTAAACGAAAAGAAAATATAACCAATATTCTGTTAAATGACAATGAATTCAAAATCGAAATGGAAATAATTTATTACATTTTATATAATAATATTAGGTATAAAAATCGTTCTTATTTTCAGAAATCCTAATAATCCGAATAATTACAATATTTTCATAATTTCACCTTATTTTCATTAATTATATTTTTAAAAGTCTTATTTCACCAGTACTTGGGAATTAGATGAAGATTTTAGAGTTCGATATGGAGATTGAAGTAACTTAATAACTGATTTATAAAACATCCATGAGGAGGGAGGTGCATCTAAAAGCAGGAGGTTGGAGGTGAAGTTATAACTAATTCACGGAGGATTGGTCGTACATACTTATATAGACAGATACGCATTCTCATAGCAATGAAGCAATAACATTATTTTCCACATGGTACTTATTGTTACATAAGGAAAGCATTTACAATTTGGATGAAAGTCATTGAAAATTAAGTATAACTATAGTTTACCTTGGATCACTATTGACTTAATACACAGGTGTACACGGTTTTGGACCCGAAAAGCTGAAAGCAGTTTTTAAGGTAACGTTTGGCGCTGATTACAAATCCTCAGTCCTTTTTTGGCTATCCGATCAGGTTTCTTAGATAAATGAATTAACCAGGTTTTGCAATTTTCATCCAAAAATCGTTACTTTATTTGGAAAAACAAATAATCAGAAGTGAAGTGCAGTGTAACTGCGTCTATTGTAATTTTTCATGTCCGTCTCACGCATGAGATCAACAATAATCGATCAGCATTCCTTCGTCCCAAAAATCCTTGTAATTTTTCTCGATTATTTATAAATCTTGGAGTTGTTTTTCTAGCTCGTCGCTCGTTTCGCGTAAGTTGTTAGGGACAAAAGCCAGATGGGAATGAAGAAAATGGATCTGTAAATACATCCAAACACCCATTTTTGTGGTAATTCTTCAAAATATTTGCAACAATCCACTTGTAGTTGACACTCTTTGTATTACCAAGGAAGTTTCGAACGACACTGTTCGATTCCCATGCTGCTGTTTTGGTAGCCGATAAACATTTGATGAAGTTGTCATCTATCATCAGCCATCTAATATCTGGGCAGATGAAAACCCTTTCTTTGATTTTGGCGTAGGAAATTTTGGGAAAGAGCTACATCAGATTTTGGAAACCTGGTCCATCTCGGTCAAGGTCCTTTTTTTATGAGCCCAATTTAATGTGTATATGTGGAAGTAACACACGAGTTGGGTCAACAAAAGATGTATCACAGACACTTTGTTGTTCTGGTGTACTATTATGATTATTACGAGACCGTTACAATTCCTTTACGGTTAGAGCCTCCTGGTTTTCCAGTTAAGTTCTGCACGGGTTTGTGCTCGTGCAGTTTGATTCGGTACAATTATGCAAATGAATACATTTCACACATATTAAGCTAGAATTGATTACTGCTAGATAAATGTCATGTAATGGCTCTTAACGCAATTTGTCTTTTAATAGTGATATTAATTCCACAACACTTCACTTGTTTCACTTTTTTTCATTTCCTCGATTCAGCTTGTTTGAAGGCTGAATATTGCACGCAGTCAATATAATCCAATTTCTGCCAGCTGACTCATATTTTTTCTTGTCTTCTTGGATTACGCCGTCCGATTCTTGGTTCCCATACGGTTTCCATAGGACCAACTGTTATCCTGGTGTTTCATGAAATTACCTTCCCATTTCCATTTTTGAGTCATTGCTTGTCATCTTTTTTTTGTTCTAGTTTTTACTTCCATACATGTAACGTGGTACTTAAGAGATATGTTATATAACATAAATATTATATATAACAATAATACTCTCCCCTGATTTTACAAGACTTTCTTGGCATTATGGCCACACCTTCATTTTAGAACATGAAAAGTATGCCTCGAATACGATTGAAACATCTACGCGAATTGACGCGATCAGCAGTCGTGAGATCTCAATACTGTTAAGATTAGAAATCAAAGAAATCTAACCTGATGGAAAACGAGCTACGGATTTGAATCCAGCGCGCAAAAAAAGTACGTAAGAAAATACTTTTGTCTTCTCAGGTCCAAAAATGTACTTAAATTTGTAACCCTGTGTTATTTTATCTAGAAATATATTCGGGATCAGAGTGGTTTCAAATAAAGGAAAAATAGACGATGAATAATTTATTAGCACACTTTAACAATATAATTTTGACATGCACTATGTGATCAAAAGTATCCGGACACGTGGCTAAAACGACTAACCAGATCGTGGCGCCTTGAATCGGTAATGCTAAAACTCATTACAGCCTTAGCCTTGATGACAGCTTCCACTCTCGCAGGCGTATTTTCAATCAGGTGCTGGAAGGTTTCTTGGGGAATGACAGCCCATTATTGGCGGGGTGCTGCATTGAGGCAAGGTACCAATATAGGCCGGTGAGGCCTGGCACGACGTCGGCGTTCCAAAACATTCCAAAGGTGTTCGATAGGATTTAAGTCAGAGCTCTGTGCAAGCCAGACCATTACAGGGATTTTATTGTCCTGTAACTACCGCCACAGGCCAAGCAGTATGATCAGATTCTCGATCGTATTCAAAGATACAATCGCCATCCCCGATTTGCTCATCAACAGTGGGAAGCAAGATGGTGTTTAAAACAACTACGTAGACGTGTGCCGTCATAGAGCTACACAAAACAAGGGGTTCAAGCCCCCTCCATGAAAAAGTACATAGTGTAAGCGATCACCAAGGATAAATTTACACCAATATTAACAATACAGTAAGAAAAATAAATACATAAATGAATTAATTATTGTATCTCACAAAATAAATGCGTTTTTCTATGTAACAATACCAAAGCATATGTATTGAGGTATGGGTATGTATAGATACAACATGTGCGCATGCTATGAAATTAATGTGTATAAGTATTGACTGTTGTATTTTTGTATCTGCATTAGAAGACCTAATACCTATTAGAAAAGCAAATAGTCGACATTCGAACCTTTTTCAACCTTCTTGGACTGCTATCCTGATTATTTTGCTTATGGTAAATGATAGAGCATATGGAGACTACAAATTGAATTTTAATATTATATTACTGTATTCTATTAATAAGAACGCTGGTAAGGTAGATATCTTTTAATAATTAAATAAATAAGAGATGACTGGTATCAAAATAATATTTAATCTTAATATATTTTCGATTACGTCGTGATCATCCTCATAGCTTGCACCTAGCGGGGGGAGAGGGTCTAAAAACCTCGCAGATCTTAGTTTTCCTCCCTCACGCTGCATACACTAAGGATGATCCCTAGGCTATAGAAAAGATCTTTAAATTAAATATAATTTTGATACTGGACTACATATTTTATTTATTTAATTACTGTATATCTTTTTTAAACTTCTTTCAAAACGTTAAATAACAGAGGCTATGGTCTGTCTTTCAGTGTGTTACATTTTCATGCTAAAATAATGAGAGTGCATGAAGCAACATTGTTTGCGATGATACAACAATGGCAGTTTCGAGACAACAACACGCACAATTTATTGACTTTCTTAACGAAGGAAGACCAACAGATGTTTCCATTTGATGTGTGTAACATTGATTGGCCATCATTTCTCGAAACTTACTATCTGGGAATACGACATTATCTCCTCAAGAACAATCTCAATTCTTTAGCCGACAGCCGGAAGCGATTGGAAAGGTATGGGCGACACAACGAAGAGCCTGGGATGAATGTGTAATACAACTAGTGGTGCTACAACAGCACATACTGCCTCGTACTATTTCTGTGGCCGGTACTTGGAAGCAGTTGACAGGGTATGGGTAACATTTATCCAATGCAATAGATATTTGCTTGTGCGATGAAACTATTGGGGCATCAGCCGTACATTCTTTCTCGCACTATTTTAATATTTGCAAGTAAAATGAAAATTTAAACAGGAACGAAATTAAAAACTGCGACATTCTTTTAAGCGTTTCTTGTTGCAGGCGAAGAAAAAAATTGGAGTGGTTTTTGAGAAAATGTTTTTTGTATAATTTGCATCAATTTGAAGCACAAATGCTCTAAATGGGATAGTGTTGAAGTTTCACCATATCATAAGTTAATATTAAGTAACATTTTTAAGTTTTATTAAAAAAAATAGTTAAATTATTTTTTTTTGTTTGAAAAATCATTTTTTTAAATTTATATATCTAAAATGTTTTCGAAGATGTATTTTTAATCAAAATGGTTAATTTTTCATCTGGGTGCTTATTGAATCTGAAATAATTGAAACGGCTTTTAATGGTTGCAGAGCATGATTAGTTGGTTTTTTAAAATATTTTTCTTTTATAATAACGGTCAACACTATTATGCCGTAAAAAAATAATAATTTGTTTGGGTCATGTTAGCAAATATTATTCCTATACATTAACAGAAACTTATTTAAACGTTTCAATGGATTATTTAAAAAAAATACAATATCACTAAAGAATATTTAGAATTTTGCAATTTGCGACAAAAACTGCTTTTGGGATGTATGAAGTCAATGCCAAAATGGGACGGGGAACAATGCGCATGGAACTTTAAATTTTGTATATTTAAATGTCACAGTGACAAATTAAGATCCAGCACATACACCAAGTGCTGATATTATTTATGTACATAAAAATAAAAAAAATAGTCAAATTTTATAAATGTATTCCCTTCAACAGTTTCCATTCAGGGTAAATGTCTTCAATATTGAAGTTGTAAGTAACGCTGAATAAATTTTGCAATTTTTGAATGTGAAAGGGAAGAACTTGACACATAAAATACCTATACCATGCGCCGGCACTCAAAGATGAAGTTTTGATTGACAGGTCACGACTCGCTCCCACTTTCAACGTTCAAGTAAAATGCCATCAGATTTCCCCCTTTACGTATTTTTTTACTTTCTCGCCTTG